CATCCGGCAGAGGTTTGAAACAAGAACTCTGCAGCCTTTCTGTGACTGGGCTTGCCTGTCCGTGTTGTCACCATGACTGCAAAGACCAGATCCAGGACGGCCCCCGTCCTCAGGGATTACAGCTGGGCAGTCCCATTTTGCATCTGTGCCTCACAGTTGGGTGGAGGGTGGCAGGAGGGAGAGCAGGGTCCTGTGGGCCCGATGTCCCGGGGGTTCACTCTTTTCTGCTTCTGGCCAGTGCCCCCGACCCTGCTGTTTGCTGGGGATTGGGAGGTTGGGAGATGTTTCCCACCCCAGGGCCTGATCAGCATCTGGGATCACAGTTGGGCTCAGGCTAGGTGCCGCCTGGACTGCGTGAGCCGGGCAGGAGCGTGTGGAGGAGGGTTTGGACGTGGCAGCAGCCACCGTGGACTTGGCACGCAGTGCCATTGAGAGCTTCACGGAGGCCAGAGCACCTCCCACATTCCCAGCCGGTGGAGCCCACTGTAGTGGGAGCCGCTCGGGGGCTCCGAATCGCACCCCACTTCACACACCAGTGTTGGCCACGGTCATCCACAGGATACAGTTCTCACGCCTCACATCGGGGAGGGGATGAGGAAAGGGGTTCCCTGGTCATACAACTTTGGGGAACATTTGGTTAAGCAGGTTTCTTTACTGTTGATTTTCTTCACCCTTGCTGTGCTGATGTATTGAGCCAATGCCCCAGGAGAGCTCCTTCTTTCCAAACTCCTTCAGTCAGAGAGCATTTTACAGGAACAAAACCGAACACCTGGTTGACAGAATCTGGATCAAATTGTTGGCATTTGATTAACATTTTCATATTTCCGGTCTTCATGGTGGCCCGGGTATGTCTAGAAATCTCTGGTGGTGTTTTTCCCTTTGCTTGTGACAGACCGGCTGGGCTGGGAATTCAAGCAAAAGTCACAGAAGCCTCATTGCTCTGTCCCCTGTTCATTCCCCAAACTTGGGTTTCAGCTGGCTGAGTGAAGTCTGCTTGTCCAGTGACATAACCAGAGGCAGTTTGATGGGAGCCAGTTAAGAAAAGTCTGTGGCTGCTGTGGTGAGTGTGGGGCGCTCCTCCTTGGAATGGGGTGCATCCGAGTTGTCCTTTTGTAACGTCAGCACTAATTTGCAGACTTAATGGACGTCGGCCCTCCTGGAGCCCAGTGGAAATGAAATCTGTGTGACTCTGGTGCTTTGTGTTTTTGGTGGAGAACTGACGGAAGTTTGTGACCACATTTTGGTTAGTGTAGTGGTTGGGTTTGTCACAGTCACCAAACCATCCATCAGTGGGGGTCCCAGAGGGCCTTGACCTCACCGGTCACCATCCTAGTGACGTTTCATTCCCTCGAACCTCGTGTTGAGCCTCTACTACGTGTGTGGCTCTGAAGGCACAGCGGTGAACACAACAGAGCCCCCCCCCCCCCCCCCCCCCCGTTCTTCTAGAGCTGCCAAGGGGGGGTAGATGTTGGGGGGGTGCAGCGAACAAATTACCCCCCACAAGCTCCAGGCCACGAATACAAACACACCCATCCCTTTTCATCAGGTGTTTTACCCTGAGGTTTTCTGCTCCTGACTTCCTGTTCCCCATTGTTCCTGTAGAGGCTTGCACAGCTTAAGGGCTCAATAAATACTGATGTGATTACATAGCAGCTAGTGTTACACGTGTGAAAAAGTGCAGAGGGGATTCAGTTCAAACATTTATCGGCTGCTGCTTCGTAGTGTGCACCGGCTGATGAGCCGGGGATGCTGTATCCGTGGTCTCTCCGCCTCCCTGACAGGCAGCCTCAGTGTGACCTGTGGTGGGTGTAGGCCAAAAGCATGCCCAGGCGCACAGGGGGTGGGAATGTAGCTCAAACTCGGAGCTTCCAAAGGGATACGGTGCCTGTGCCCGAATGAGTGTAGGCCACGGAAGAAAAGAGAATGTGCTCCAAGCAGACGTCCAGAGCGTGACAGACCACAGGCCGTGCAGGGGGTGGACAGACGCAGCAGGCCGGGCAGTGCCGGGGGTAGTGGTCAGGTGGGGGCCGCCTGTGTGCGGGGGGGGGGGGGGGGGGGGGGGGACTCCGCCCCGTCTGGGAGGGCGGTGCTGCTTTAAGTGTGTGTGTCACACCAGGGCTTCTGGCTGCCGTGCAGACACTGGACTTCAGGGAGTGAGAGCAGAGGTGGGGAAACAGCAAATAGTTAAGGTAGCTCTTAACTACCATAGTGATGGCCTGCCGTGGGAGTGGAGGACCCGGGCCGGGATCTGGGGAGGGAGTATCTGCTGGGGTTGCAGTTCTTCAGGAAGCCGCTTTCACAGCTTGGCCCCCGTGGCCCCTTTGTTGCCTCCCTCCGACCCCAGCTGAGCAGCGTGCCCGGTTGTGGTGCAGAGTTGTTCTTATCACACGGGACCTCTCCCTGCTCGTGCCTTGACCTGCCCTGTGGCTTTGTCCTGTCCCAGGGACCCAGAGGCAGCCCAACTCTCCCTCGTTTGCCCAAATCACTGCAGCCCCTTCTGGGCGCCGACATAATCCCCAGCACCAGAAAGCTCTTCGTCTGCCATCCAGTTGGTTCTCTGTCTGTTCTAGTCCTTCCTCAGTGGCCTTCCATCCATTTTCTCCAGCACCCCCTTACCTTTACTTCTCCCTCCATCCAGTATTTGTTGATGCCAAGTATTGATCTCAGACCACGAGTCAGCAAGGGGAACGAGGCGGTCTCCGGTCTCATGGAGTTGATGTCTTAGTAGGGGAGATAGAGCATAACCCATAAATACTTAGTGTATCTGGTGGTCATATGTCCTGAGAGAGAGAGAGAAAGAAAGAGAATCTGTGCTTCACCGAGAGGCCGTGCAAGGTTTCTTGTACAGAGTAGTGTGTGTGTTTAGTTAAGTCTGCGGTGGCTACGCCTTTCCTCTCAGGCTGGAGGCTGTCAGAGAAAGGGACAGAAACTAAGTTCAGACCGGCTTAAGCAAAAATCAGCATTTGTTGGCTTAACTGAAAAGTCCAGTGGAGGTGAGGTTAGCTCTGGGCTGGGCTGGACCCACGGCTTCCACCAGTTTCTCCAGGATTCAGTTTCCTCCTCCATCTCCAGCTCTGCTTCCCACTGGATTGACTCCGGTCCAAGGTCCCTTTTGGTGACGTGACACTGCTCGCAACCCCAGGGTTACCTTCCACCAGCTCTGCAGTCCCAGCAGAGACAGAGCACCCCTTCACCAGCTCCAACAAAAGTCCTAGACCCAAGTCTCATTCACTGTCAGTGGCCTGGGCTTATTTACATGTTGTGTCCCCTGGAGGAACGTCCTCAGACCTAGAACCCAGGCACGAGGGAGGGGTGGTTCCCCAAAGAAATGGGGAGGGGTTGGAGGGATGCAGGGCCGGCCCACACTCACAACTCCCTCCAGTGTGCCTTAGCTCCTTGCGGCGGCTGGGAGTCTAAGGCATAAGTGAGGTCCAGGCCTGGATCTGCAGCCCTGGATGCTGGGCTTGTGGGGTAAAGGGCAGGGCCCGAAGATCTCTGGGGACCCCCATAGTAGAAATAGTGTGGATAAGCTGCTGCTGTCCCAGGGCCCCTCCGCCCCTCCGTCGCTGGCATTTATTGTCTGGCATAGGCACATTCGATCATTCATTCACGTGGGTTTGTCAAGCAGCACCAACCCCTGTGCCAGGGACATGGCTGCTTAGGGAATCGTGGAAGCTTCGTAGGCGACCCTTCTGTCCCCCAGCCGCCTCCCGTGTACTTTGGTCTCATCCGTGTCATCCACCCCCGTGTTCGTCGTGGGTTGTGTGTGGTGAGGACTGTCACAGTGGATCAGACTCAGGGACTCAGGTGCCGCGTGGAGCACAGTAGAGGGAATGGCCACCATCAGTGGGCTGTTGCCCCCAAGTCAAGACCAGTGTCTGTTCTACTTCTCCAAAGAGTGAAAATTTGGGGGGATGGGAGTGGGCCAGTGTCCTTTTGATCGTCTCAGTCTTGTCCCTTTTCCTCCTCCCACCTCCTCCCCTCCCCATCTTTAGCGTGGGTGATCGCCATTCCCTCCTGACTAGTAGTGTCTCTGTATGGCCTCCTCCCCACACTGTTCTTTGAACCTGAACCCAACTCCTTTTACAGCACTTTCCCGAATCTTTAGCACAGAGATCATCTGCCCCTGGGGCTCCCCGTCACTGTATAAGCCCCTCTGGCCTCTTCTCTTTGGACTTCAGCATAGCCACTTCTTCTCAGGAAAGTTCTCCTGACTCTCTAGACCAGCCGCTATGACCAGCTCCCCACACGACTGCGCTCTCGAACCAGAGGTTGTGTCCCCTCCCACCTAGCGGTCCTACTGGGTAAAGCTGGTGTAAGTGAAGGTTTTCTGTTATCCTGGCTTCCCAGGACCGAGGGCTCCACAACAGCAGGGCTGTGCGGTGCTCCCCATATTCATGATCCCCCTCGCTTCCCATCCATTGTCTGCTCTCGAGGCTTTGAATGCTGACGAGGGCCCTGGGTGCACCCAGAGCCACCATACCCAACCCCCAGGCAATGAGGCAGGCAGCATCCGGGCCTGCCCCCACGGGTGAACATAGTCCTCACCCACAGTCCCCGCTGCCATCCACGCAGGCACGAGTGGCAAAGGGCTGTACATTCAGCTGCCCCTGGGTAAGAGAGAAATGGTGTTGCCCGAGAACAATAGGTCTCATCATGTGTCTGAACATTTCAAAGGGTGTCTTCCTTTGCACAGCTGTGCAAGATGGACTCAGAATTTTCGCAACTCCTTAAATCCTTTTTTTATTTTAATGGGCAGTCACTTAGAGATCCAGGTGGAATGTCAGGTGACTCAACCAGGGTAAGCTCTCCAAAGAGCATGAGCTGTGTGGATAGAGGTTGCAGTCTGGTTATCCCCCGGCCCCCGCTGGCCTATAAATTTAAAAAAAAAAAAAAAAAAAAAAAAGATAAACCTAAACTAGTCTTCAGCATTTGAAATTCAGGAGATGCCACGTAAAGGTCTGACATCTCTGTGCCACATTCCTGCAAGGCCGCGGTTGATGGCGCAGAACGGCATTGCCTTGGATACCCTGCAGCGTGCCGCCCTCCCCACCACTCTCTGTCCATCACTGGCGTGGCTGTTCTAAGAGAGTCTTGCAACCTTTTTCTTGATGTATAACATGCACCAGAAAAGTGCACGCACCCTAACATTAAGTGTCAGATGTTCACAAACAACACACCCCCGTGGCTACTTTAAGAAACCATTTTCTAAGTGATTTTGACGTTCTTTGGAGTCACTAGTTTTATATCGGGTTTGGTTTTTGCTTTTAACTTATTACAAACAAATGTAGCTTTGTTTACTGTATGAATATAGTGTTGGGGGGAAAACAACCAATTTTTCTTTTTGCAGAAAAACCTGCCATTGCTCCGCCCGTCTTTGTGTTTCAGAAGGATAAAGGACAAAAGGTAAGGGGCCGGTATGTTCTCTCGTCACATGATTACTCTGATCTGTTTTCTCCCAGAGGTCTCTCCCAGGTCACAAGGCCAAGGGTACTTCCCTTTTAAGCCTTCACTTTGAGCTTGAAAGGAAAAGGTCCTGTGGCTTTAAGTTATCCTGGTGAGAGGTTAAGACGGGCGTGTGTGGAAAGGGTTCAGAAGCCTCGCTATGAACGGTGGTAGGAAGCTGCTTTCTAATTCTTAATGGTTCATTTTAGAAATGCCTCTGTACATTAGGAAGAATAGGAGAGAAAAGGCAGAAGGGAGGGGGAGGGGGAGGGAAGGAGGAAGGAAGGAGAGAGAGTAATGGTGGTTAAAGGGGAAGACAGGACCTTTAAAGATTTTAGGGAGATATTTTGGCCCCCAACCAACTTGGCAGAAATGCATTTAGAATAATTATCTATTACTTGGCTTGCATTATGTACTTACCATCCATCTTTGTTATTTGTTGCTTCTTGCTCTTGGATTTCAAATGTCTCGGTTGCACTGATGTTGGAAATACCTTACCTAACTCCTAGCAATGAGCTAGCAGTTCGTTAACGGCCTGATTGGTGCCATGGTAGCATTCTGATGTCGCATGCTGCCGTTTACCCAGAAGTCATTGATTTTATGTCTGTCCCTGACCAATCAGTGTGGAAGGTTGGGGTTGTGTCCAGGGTAGTTGATGTTCTGTGGTGATGCTTCCCAAGCTTATATGAGGACTCTACTTGGCCAAAAAAATGGTTGATCCCTTCCACCCCACCCCTCACCCCCAGGACAGCAGGTATAATTTAATACCCTTTGCAAGATTTCAGAGTGACCAAAGTGCTAGATTTGGTGTGTTTTGACATCTGTTTGTATCTTTATTTTCTTTTCTTCTTTTTTTTTTTTTGTATTTCTTCTTGAGAGAGCGCAAAGTACACACGAGGGAGGGGCAGAGGCAGAGAAAGAATCCCTAGCTGGTTTCACGACACAGGGCTCGATCTCAAAACTGTGCGATCATGACCTGAGCCGAAATCAAGAGTCAGATGCCCAACTGACTGAGCCACCCAGGTGCCCCAAATCCATTTACATCCTGTTGATAAGAACAGATCCGTTCAAAAGCTCTCCTTTTGGAGACTTGTGATCCACAGGCGAGGTGTCTGGTAGATGCCCGGTCCTCTGGCGGCGTGGCCAGCCCTGAAGTCCGGGACCGCTGGTCTGGCGATTTGGGACTCCTCACAGCCCAGCTACTCCTCCTAGACCCTGTCCCTCGGTCTGAGAAGAGAGGCCAGACTTCTGTGTGGCCCAAGTTTTCCTGGACCTTGTTCAAGTACGGTGCCAGGAAGACAGCGTGTGTGCGCGCAGGGGGGCAGGAGGGAGAAGTGGCTGTCTTAAAGCCACGAACACACACACATACCCTTGCAGGGTACCTTCTTGTGAGCCGGGGTCATGTGCTAGTCTTGCTCTCATGTTAAACTTTCCCATTGTTTGTTCTTTTGCTAAAGAGACAATGACAGCACCCAAGGAAACATTCTTCCTGTTTTGTCTCAGTTTTCCAGGTGCTGTTTTCAAGACACATCAGCCTCTGGGGTCTCCTCTCCCCTGGGCCTTGACTAGTACATGTAGCTTAATTACAAGTATCTCTGTCATTTGTCTTTTGGAGGTTCACTCACAGAGAAGGGGCTGGTGCGCTTTTGCTAACTCTTGGAAATCATGTGTTCAGTTTCTGTTTTAGATGTGAAAGTTGCTTCTCTCAGGCTTTCTGTAAAACGAGGATCCTTTAGAATTTTGAATGTTTTTACGATCTTTTGAACCACTTTGAAACGGGTCAGCAAACTAAGGCCTGCCACCACCGCCTGTTTTTGTAAATAAAGTTTTATTGGCACACAGCCATGCCCACCCTGTTCCCAGTAGCCGAGGCTGCTTTCCAGCTGTGACAGCAGAGTGAGGTAATTTGGGCAGAGACCTATGGCCCACAAAGTCCAAAATACTTAGTAGCTGACCCTTTACAGAAAAAATTGGCCGACCCCAGATTTAAATTTAGGAATTAATACTTTCAACCCGAAGACTTGGACAACCAGCAGGAAGAAACACTAAAATGTAGCATTTGTTCGGCCAAATTTAGAATGTTTTTTAAATCTCTGACTCCCATTTCAATACTGTTTTCACGGTTGAAGTGCTTCTTGCCTGCAGCCTTGTGGTTCGGAGGCTGTGACTTCCACGTATTACCTCCAGCAGGTTGGGGTGAGGCTGAATCAGAAGAGTAGCTAGGAAACTGCTCAGCATCATGTTAAAAATGTGCAAATGTAGTTCTTATCAAAGCATTGACTCCGAGCCAACTCTAAATGGGCTTCTAAAAATAACTGATCTCCGGTTCCTCAGAGTTCAGCCCTCCACTTCTGCCGGGCCTGCGGGACCAGATCCCCGGCAGGACGCGGGAAGTCTCTGCGTGTTTGCGAAGGAGGGCCTTCTGTGACCGTCCATGAGGGCAGCTGTCTGAGCTGTTGGGTGGGTAGTGGCCAGGTGAAGGTGGAATCTTCCTTTCTTTCTCTGCTGCTTATGACGGCTCAGAAGCGAGGCAGCGCTGCAGGGAGCAGCCGTGACACTTCTGACAGAGACGAGGGTTCGAGCCTCATTCAGTTCCCATCTCCCTGGCCCAGGTTCCAGCCCGTCTGCTTCTCACGTTGCAGAAGCAGAGCTGGGAACGGGCCGCACAGGCTGCTCTCGTTCTGGTTTCTCCTCTCCTGTCCAACTTTGTATTTTGAAAATATCCAGTCCTCAGAAAAGTTAGAAGACTGAGACTGCAGACGCCGGGATGTCCTTCACCTGGCTTCACCTGGCCTCAGCACAGACATCTTTGTCTTAAATGCTGGAAGCACTCGACTATAGGTGGTGCCCACTGATGCTTCTCCCCTAAATCCTTCTGCAGGTGCCTCCTGGGAATAGGGCGGCCCTCTCCATGGCCCCAGTGCTATTGTCACTCCTAAGAAAGTGATGCTTATTTTAGAAATACCCTTCAATATGTAGGCCGTATTTATGTTGTCCTAATCGTCAGCAAAATGTCCCTTACGACTATTTCTGGAGCCCTTTCTTGACCCACAAAGACCAGGAAGTCCCACTGTCAAATGTGGGACCGCTGACTTACCTTTCAGTAAACTGTCTCTAAACCACCCAGCGGGCTGCCCTTCAAAGAACTTGTGTCTCCCCTCCCCCTGCCAAGGAGAACACTCCGCAGGCCCAACTATTATCTGAACCATGACTGAGGCAAAAGATTTGAAATCAAAAAGAGAAAAAAATGAAGCTGTTAGCCCAGGCGGGGTTTTTGGTTTTGTTCAGTAGCAAAGCCGTGTGGCGTCTTCTGTCAGTCCTAACCACGGTCCAAGTTGCATTAACAGCAGGCTACAAATTGGTGGCGGTGGCCTGCCAGTGGTGGCATCTCTTAGTGTCAGCACAGGTTGTCAGATCCCCCTATTGTTCCCTGTTAGAGAAAGCAGTTGACAGTTTGAACTCCAGCCCTAACGCCGAAAATCCAGTTGGACCCAGACCCAGAGCCCAATCGACAGCCCGGAATCATCCTTCCTTCCTTCCATGCTCTCATGCCTCCTCAAGAGGGCGCTCCTCGTGAACGGCTTGCCTTCGCGTATTTCTGTTTCTTAACTGCCTTGAATGGAGACCCGTTTGTTTTTTTCTTCCTTTTGATGTAAAGAGATTTTCGAAACTCCTTAGGAGTGTGTTTCATTGACTGTGACGACTGATGTTTCTTTCAGACACTTTGTCTTCCGAGTGTATTACTCTGCAGGGGTGAGGCTTTGTGGGGGTTGCACTTGGCCGATGGGGTAACGTCTGCTTGGTGGAAAGACAAAGCAGTTGCAGAGATGCGGATGGGCAGGAAGGAAGGGGTCACTGAATGCTGCCACAGTATCTTTAGACTCAGTTTCAAAGCTTACTGCTGATTAACAAGCCTATCCTGTGTGCGCGTGTGTGTGTTTTGGTTTTTGTCAGCCATGTATATTTCAGGATGATGTCAAAGGCTCCCACAATCTTGATGCCAGAGTTTCACCAATATGTTGAAAAACTACAGGCCCTGTCTTGGTTCTCTAGAGCTCCCTTTTCCTGTCCAACAAAAACACTCAGACCCAAGTAGAAAACGCTGGAATGGCATATGTGTTTCTCTTTGGTCCTCCAGTTTAGCCGTCATTTCAAGTTCAGTGCCATGAGAGCATTTGAACATTCGTGCTCTAAAAGCAGGAGTTAAAAAAAAAAAAACCCAAGTGGTTCTAATTAGAGATAGGCCATTGTCCACAGAGCTTATGGCTTAACGTTCTCTTAGCGGGTGTTTAATCTCCAGCCGTAAAGTAGCAGCCAACTGGTGCATGGGCCAACCTCTGCGTGTTGAGTGGGTTTGAGGGACAGCTTTGAGAAGGAAGGCTTTCGTGTCTGTGCTTCTCCCCTTTATAGGAAGAATCGATTTTGCTGACTTGTTCGGTGTATGAATGAGCTCACATTTTGTTGCTTTTGCTTTCCTCAGAATGTTCAAAAGTTCTCTCAAGTCGTCTTTATAGAGTTCCTTTGATCCAACAGACTGGCATTTTAAGGAATAGCCCCCAAGCCCTATCTAAAGAGGCTTTAGTCACTTCACACTCCGAAGAAGAGTGGCCAGGTCTGTGGAAGGACAAGGTAGCCACTCAGTTCACAGAGCGAGAGAAATGGCTCCGTGTTGCGAACGATGCCAAGTGGGAGATTTGGAGACCAGAGCCCATCTGTTGCAGGACACCGGCTTTGTAACCCATTCCTCAAGAGCTCCCGTTCATCCCAGAGCTCCCGGTCCCTGGGAGCCCCTCCAGAATCCCAGGAACCACCTCGTAGGAAGCCAGGGGTGTTGTACCTTCAAGAACAGAAATTTCCAGAACCAGCTTTCTCTTACCCTGGCTGTTTTCTAAATACACCCTTGCCAAGGTATTTGGGGTGAATGTGGGAAAATCCTAGGCCAAGGGTCTCCCTCCTCCAGCTGAACTCCCACCCATCTGATAGAAAGCCAGCTCTCTGTGTCTCTGGCAGCTGGTTTGGTCACCCCGCATCTGCACTCACTGAGGCGAGAAAGCACTCCCTTTATCTCAGGTTTAAGCAGAACGAATTGAGAGGTGCTAGAAGCACTGTAAACCGTGTACACTCCGTTTTGTAGGCTATTCCAGGCCTGCCTCCCCTCCCCCACTTTTTTTAACGGACAGAAGTGGTGCTGAGGGCCAACTTCCCTCCTCAGTGTCCTTGCAGAGATGGGTCATCAACCCCTAGAGACAAATGGACATAATCGCCCCTGTTCCCCTCCGGTAGAGGCCCTGCCCCCATCTTGGTCTCCAGGAGCGTCGTTCCTCGCTCACAGCCCATAAGCACAGTAGCTCCAGGCTGCAGGTTGTGGAAATGGGGTCCCAGGCCTCCTGCGTACCTCAAAGCTCCCTGCAAAGTTAAACAGCAGCCAAGTCCGCACTCAGTTTCCATTCTTGCATTCTGGAGGGCCAGTTTCGTCGGGCAAAACGCAACAGCATGTGCCAGGCTTCTTGTCTCATCCTCCCAGGCAGGGGCTGCTGAAGTCTGAACGTCTCTAGCCCTTCGATCCCCGCCCACCCCTTGCCCTGTGTTGCAGCCTTTGTTTACATTGAAGGAAAATTGTCTTTTTTGCTCCCAGTCCTCTGCAGAGCAAAAAGACTTGTCGGATTCGGGAGAGGAGCCTCGGGGGGAGGCTGAGGCCCCCCACCATGGCACGGGTCACCCCGAGTCAGCTGGTGAGCATGCCCTAGAGCCTCCTGCCCCCGCTAGCGCTTCAGCCAGCACTCCTGAAGCCCAGCTTCTTCCTTTCCCGCGAGAACTGGCAGGGGTAAGTCCACCTCCACCCAGCACTCCACGGCCTGGGGGTCCCAACCCAGACCGGCCCCTTTCCCTTTGGGCTCCTCAGGTCAGACCCTAGACCGCAAGCAGCCGATCATAACTGAAAAGATGATCATGATCTCTGCAGCACCCTTTAATTCTTGCTGCCAGAAAGTCAGGGAAGATTGAGTCCCCTTTTTCATTGAGACTTTCTAAACGGGGGAATTTATATACACCCCTAGCAAGAAGCAAATCCTGTTGCCTGAGAGAGACATAAGGGGTCAAAAGAGGGATTGAGTAATGGGGTAGAACCTTCCAAATCAAATTCGACCCCCTCTCCGTCCTTCCATTTTTCTTTCTCCTCTCCCTGAATTTGGGCGTTCAGGTTCAGGGTCTTAGAAACACCAGTAGCCCCAGCTTCCTTGATCTAGAGGAAGAGGAGGTGTCTAAAGCAGACTGCTTTGCAAGACCGGTTGTGTTTGGACTGTGGTTAGGCTGTGAACTGCTTGTCTTCAATCAAAGCAGGAAGAAGAAAAGACTCTTCTTTTGAATCCAGAGGGAACCCCTTGAGCCCTTTATCTTTGTATTGAGAAGGCTTTTGAAGATTATAGGTGGAGAAGATTGTGAACTCTCGAGAACAAGAAATGTCTTGAGTGTTTGGAGGTTGATAAAATGGGAAAGGTAAACGATCACCCTACATTCAGGATTGAAAACTCCATGTGGGTACCTAAGCCCCCCATTCTGGCAGGGAGAAATGACTCTTAAGGAAACGAGGAACCCTGCTGTGCACACCAAACACTGGGTAGCCATCCAGGGTGTCACAGTCCCAGACCTTCAGCAATCCCTTGTGTCACATCACCAGTGTGCTTAAGGAGATGATGAAAATTCAGTTACAGCCACCAAACCCTGGGACACACAGGAAGAAGTAATATTCAGCAGAGGTGAGGTTGGAGGCCACTTGGAATATTTTGGAGGAGTCAGTGTGTAGTGGAAGAAGAATAAACGGCCTTTACTGTGTGTCGGGCAGCAGTGACGGGGGCAGTCCCTCATGGTGTACAAGTGGGTTTGGGCCCGGTAAAGATTCCAGCCGGGAGGCACCCACACCAAAGTGTTCCAGGGGTTCACAGGCAAGCACAGAACTGACAGAGCAAGAATTAGGAGATGATCACTTTTTCGGTTGGGGGCCCAGCAGCTCCTGGAACCTTCTGCTGAGCAGGTATTTTGAGTTATTGTGCCTTCAGGCTTCGCAGGCACAGGAAATCGTGTCCTCGGTTCCCTGAGAACAGACGACCTCCGTGTGGATCTGCCCAAGAGGCTCTGGGACCCTTTGCTGCTGTCTGGTTTGAACAGCACAACAGCTCACAGAGCTGCCTGTCACTCGAGAGGCTGAGGGTTTTCAATTGAGAGTAGCAAATGGGTAGGTCACAGAGGTGGAGTCGCAGCAGCTGTTCCTCCAGAGGCACACAGGCTGGTGTGGGCCTTATCTAATGCCCATCTGGTAAGACCGGGGTGGGGGGTGGGGGTCTCACCTTCTGCCTGCGGCCGGGCCAGATGGGGATTTCTGTAGCCTGGCCGATGGGACTGGACTTCTCGATTCTTGTGGACTTTGGGTCAGAGGCTCTAATCCCCCAAAATTCAAACCATCCCCAGCCTGGCCATGCAAGGTCAAGTGTTAACAGTGGGAAACCTCAAGCCGAGTTGTGGGTCACCGTGGGAGGAAGTCAGGACCGGGGGGAGCAGTCGATGAACATACCGGCATAGCAGCAATGGCCGTGCACATGACACACACACGTGCTGTTTGGTTTTAGCATTTGTGACTGTGGGAGTCCCTGGTCCCATCAGAAGTCCGTCAGTGCCACCTTCACATCATTTGGTGATAGCTCTGAGCCAACCAGGACTTACTCCTTTGGGTTCTCAGCAGAGAAAACTGGCCTGTTGCCAGTGGCTCCCATTAACTGGCTTTCTCTAGTGATTGGGCATGTTCAAAGCAGAGTAAACTTTTTCTAGGTCACTTAGGGCATAAACGAAAGCAGATGGAACCTGATCCCAGTTTCTTCTCAGGTTGAGATGTTCCTTTGGTTAGCTAGGACCAGTTGCTCTCACATCCGAACAGATTTGGATCTTGCCCTGTACCACACTGGAATTCAGGAAACCACCCACCCTGACCCAGCCAATCTCGTCCATCACGTTTAGTCAGTTCTTTATTGCATGATCCCTTGAGGAAATGTAAAGCCGAAAGTTCTTTATAATAAATAGCGGCTCGCTGAATTGTTGCTTAGAGAGGGCCCGCTCATCTTTCAGTCTCCCCGGACTCTGGCCATCTAAGACTCAGTACCGGGAACAAGCCTCTATATATCAGACTTCCTGGCTCTCAGAAGACAGCTTGGAGAAGACCAGACCACATCCAAATTAAGTTCTCTGATCCGGAGAAAGCAGGCAGCTCTTTGTGCTTACTCTGAGTCTGGCTTAAGTCTCCTGGACTGATGCTCAGAGCCAAGGCCCTGCTGAGCCCGAAGTGTGTTTATTAGACCCACCAGGAAGCTTAGGTCCTGGAACCAGACCCCTGGCTGGACAGCTTCCCTCCTCTTCTAGGTTCTGCATGGGATTTGGACCCTCATTTCACAACCCCCGCCCAACATTCAGACCTTCGGAGGCCATGATTTTTTTTCTTCAGTATCTACCTTTTTAGTAAGAAGTTCTGAGCTGGTCACCCAGTTGCAGAATAAACAGCATTGAATCAGCCCATAGTGCCTTTGAAGACAAGGACATGTCAGGAGTCCCCTCCCTTGATTGATTTTTCAGCCCAGGCATCCATTTCCCTGTAGCCACAGCCAGGCAAGCTTTCTAACGGTTCAGTCCATACTGGAGTCGCTGAGGCCCAGGCAAGCCAAATGGTGTCTGGCATGGTCTCGTTTTCTGGGAAGTCAGGAAGGCAGTGCTGTTCACTCCTGCTTACTCTCCCTGTGTGTCAGCTTTGGAGACACAGTGGCCAGCTCCTTTCCTTCCCCTTGGATTGGCCTAGCACCTTTGTCCTTCTTGAGGCCACACCAAGCAGCCTCATGAGAGCCATGTTTTCTCAGGGCTGGGGTGGGGGTGGGGGATCCTGGATAAGCATAATGATCATAAATTTTCACCGTTTCATCCTTTACAAAGAACTGAAGCTTCCCACATCTGCAGTCCAGGGTCCTGTTCCGAGTTAGACGTTACCATCTATTTTGTCCTTGGCAAGAGGGACATGCACACCTCACAGAATGAGCGGCTCCCCCCGAGGTTCCCGTGGCTCTGAGGGGAGAGAGCTGCCGCCCCTGTGATTCTTTCCACCCGTCCACAGCAGCCGCCACCGTGGGGGCTTTTCATCTTCTGTAAGCCCACTCCACTCGTTCACACTCCGTGACACCGGGGAAGCGAATTGAAGGATTCTCTTTGGGCTTCTTTCTTTCCTGCCTCCTTATGTAAGTGTTGATCTGGGATATGTTCGTCATGGCGTCCCAGATGGGTGCTGACCCCAGTGTCCTCTAGGTATCCTCCCGAAACCCTGATCCTCAAAGAGGTGGATTCTAGTGTGGGAGGAGGCAGAGGAGGAAATGGGGCCTTCACACCTGCTTCTGCCCTGGCTCCTCCCCACAGAGGAATCCTGGAAGCCTGTTCTTCGAGTCCCCATGGCTGTGGCTCCTGAGCTTTGGATGCACACTTCCGGGGTCCGAGGAGCTGTAGCTGTTTGTGCCCCGGGCATTGTTCTCAGCTGACCCTGATTGGCCTCTCCCTTGGTTGGGGTGAGGGGTGGCCCCTGACTACCAGGCTGCTGTGTTGGCAAAAAGTGTGCGTGGAGACTGCGTTGGCCTTGTTTGGGGCCGGGGTTGGCTTGAGAGGGAGTTGCTTTGCTCCAGGCCTTTCCGTTTGGGGAGAAGACAGCACGAGACAGCCAGACAGCAAGCTCAGACCTTCAGTGCAGTTGGGGGGTGGGGACAGACATCAGGCTCACGTGGGCAGCTGGAAGAGTTGAGGATTTCTGGAAGAGTTGACATATCCCAAGGCAGGCAGAAATTAGTTCCTTGTACATTGTCTTGTTTCTTTGTGCTAGTTCCTGTTGAGGAGAGTTGCTGGCATCAGTTTCCTTACTGCTTCTGAGTTGGCTAGTTCAGACCCCACAGGAGGTTCCAGCAGCTTCTGGAAGGTTCTTCCTGGTGGGGGAATCTCCTGTGTTGTCCTCCCCTGGCCTTGGCCTCTCAGCTTTTCCAGGACCAAGACACCAGTCACGTGCCTCTTAGAAGAGATTTGAGGTGTGGGTTTGAGGGTCTCCTGGGGCTTAAGGGACTAGACGTATCTGAATCTTGTCTGGCCAGGCACCCTCTCTTCTCCAGGTCACCGAAGGGGCTGCGACCAACTCGGGCTCCATTTACGCAACGAGTGCATGCCGAGCATCTTTTGTGCGCAGCGTCCCGGGTGTTCTGTGCTGAGCTGTGGGCAGAACAGCCAGACGGACACGTTAGATCCTTTCCAGCTGGTACACAAACGGCAGAGGCGCGAGAGGCTGTGGGTGGGGTGGAGAGGAGCAGCTTCCGCTCGCTGTGTGGCGGGATAGTGAGCGAGCTCGGCTTCCCCCGGAGGAGGGTTCCCCCTGGAGGAGGCCATGCTGAGCGGAGCTGCAGGAAACTCGTCCCAGGCCTTGGGGGCAGCACACACAGAAGGAACCCTGAGGTGGGAACAGTGTTGGCAGATTGAGAAAACAGGAAGGAGACTGGGAGTCTGAAGCGTGACAGCAAGGAGGGGTCGTAGGGCATGGACAGACGGGGCCCCAGAGGCCTCAGCTCTTGGTCTGGGCACACTTCTGGGGGGTTCCTGGCACCCATCACATTCTTAAGGAGACTCCCGATTCCTGAGACACTTGGGGTGTTGTTGGCATAGGTAAGAAAGTTCGGTGTCAATTAAGAACCCCAAAACACGTGAAGCAAAAATTGACAGAACTGAAGGGAGAATTCAGATACCGTCGTAGCGTCGGAGAGCCCAGCACCCCAGTGGAGTAGTCTGCAGGGCTCCGGGAGGGCTCAGACAGCACTCAACCCCGCTGGCCTGGCAGGCCACCTGTCCCAGAGAACATTCCAGACGGTGCTGTGCTGCAGAGTAACCGGGACACTCTCCAGACAGATTGCTTGTGGGGCCACGAAACAAGTGTCAGTAAGCTGGAGATGACTGAAATCGCACAGTCGTTTGCAAGCACAGTGGAAAGAAATCGGAAATGTGTAGATTTCTGGAAATCTGCACATGGGGAAATGAGATAAGATAGCTTGCAGGGCAGAGGGACGTTAGGTGCACAGGCCTCTTGGCATTGAGCTGGTGGAGGAACACCCTTTTCGGCAGCTGAGGAAACAGGAAGCTGGGACGTGACAAGCTCTCTGGACTGCTGACCAGGCTAGGGGCCACTCTTCTGCATGGAATGCAGGGACACATGCCTTAGCAGCTTCTCTGAGGCCCTCAGAGCACCTGAGATTTGTGTCCCTTCACTGAACAAATGCCAGGCGAGGTCCCACTGTGTGCTGCGTGCCAGCGCCCTCCTGGGACTCAAGCCGGTGGAGGCCGTGACACAGATTGCACAATCAGCGTGAGAGGCGGAGGACTGCAGGGGACAACGAGGCCAGAGGACAGGGGTGGGTGTGAGGGGGTTGTCAGGTGAGGAGCCAGGGACAAGAGAGCAGGACCAGAGGTGGGGCCGTTTCCCGATCCCAGAAGTCGCTCTGCGGAAGTGACAGATCCCGCGGGATCTGAGAGGCTGCCACGTGTGGGGTTGGTACAGCCAGAATGCTTAGTGAGAGGAGTGAAGCACCAGGAGCCATGGGACCAGACCTGGGGGTGGGCCGGCCGCTGTGAAGGAACAGGAAGGAGGTACCTGGGTCTGCACCTCAGTGATGTCACCCAAGGAAGGGGATGGTCCTGGGAGAAAAGGTCTGTTGTGCCAGTGTCATGGCTCTGTGTTGTCAGATGCCACCCCAGTGCTTAGTCCTGGGCTTGGGGCCATTTTCTTAACACCCCTGGCCCCGTCCCCATCCCTGACTCCTCATCTGGCTGCCCCAGGACGTGACTTCACGTCTGGACCCTTGTCACACAAGGGCATAACATCCAGCGGAAGTGAGCCGGCTGGGAGAGCCCCACCTTGGCCGGGTGTTGGGTCGGGCTGAGTGCTGCCCCACCTGCTTATCCCACTGACCCCGTCAATCTCCCTGAGGCGCCGGTGCCGGCGCCCCCATTTCCCAAGCAAGGAAACGAGCCTGGGCAAGTGAAACAGTTTGCCCAAGGTGTACCTTTAGGAAGTGCCAGAGCTGGGAGAAAGTACTGCAGGCCTTCCAGAGGGGTCGAGCCCCTTGAGGTTCCTGCCGCCGGTGTGTGCCCATCTGGAGCCCGCCTGCCCGACTCCTCCCGTGTTTGATTTCGTTTGGGACCCAGTGGTGTGCTCACAGCTGCCCCGCGGACTGTCGAGCCCCTGTTGTGTTATGAGGGGTTCATTTACTAAGCACTCTGCTGGATGGCCTCCCCTGCGCCCCCGGATCAGCCTTTGCAGATGTGGGGACAGCAGCCGTCCTCGCCCCTTCACAGAGGCTTGCAGCGGGCTCTTAGAACAGCTTGTGTTTCTGACTCCAGCCCACGTTGTCAGCTCACACAGGAGAGCGTGCAGGCTGGGATCCTTTTCTCTCCTTGTCCCTTAGGACAGGGTCTACAAACTCCGGGCCTCTGTCTACAAGCTAAGATGGTGGAATATACACGTGGCCCAAGATGCTGAAAGTCCTTTGTGGCCCTTTATGGGGAAAGTGGCGCCCAGGGCTCCAGCCGGTGCTCACGGCCCGTTATTTACGCTTTTAGGGCAGTTACTGCATCTGTCTCCACCCCGCCCTGGGCTCACAGAGCACTTTCCCAGGCGCGCCTCATCTAATCCCTAACAGCTCCTCCAGGCAGGTGGTCCTCCTTTGGCTAACCTTGACCCCTAGGGGCTTTTCTGAAAATAAGAAAATTGGCTCCTCTGCTCACTCCCACGTTCAGTGCCCCGGGAGGACTGATATGCACTCGTCAGTGTTTGCTTCTGGCTGCTTCTTTCGGAAGAGTCACAACGTCTCTGAGAAGGGCTGTCTCCTAGGGGTTGGGTATTATCTGGGGGTTGGGAACGGGGCCTCATCCTAAGGCTTCTGGATGGCTAGTTGTGAACATTCTAAAACTAAACGTTGTTAAGGAGGAAATTCTTCGGCCACCTTCTGACCTCGCTGGTGATTTTTTGGTAGGTTGTGTGGTCTGCTGAGTTGTTCTGAACACTCTGCATCGGACTTAGGTCCCAGGCATCACAGTTCTGTATCTTCTGGAAATAATAACGTACCTTGAAGCAGCGTTCTGCACTGTGCAACAAGCCAGGGCAGGGAATGGAGGCTGCTACGATCCGGTGTTAGGTGACCATTTTACCCAGTCTGGCTGCCCTCCAGAGCGGAGCGAGTCACTTGCCAGCTCTTGGCAAAGTGAATTCCAGCCAGGCACCGTTTCACTGTGCTTGACTGGGGGGGGGGGGGGGGGGGGAGGTGTGGCACGTAGTTAGCTGTGACCTGTGGAGAGACAAAGACACCAGTCTTTGTGCAGTAAATATGTTCTCAGCCCATGGACTCCTTGGCCCCATGGCCTGGAAAGGCAGACGCAGAAGGTTTTTGGGGGGATTTTTGAGCCTAATGTTAGGTTGAAAGTCTATCCGTGACTTGGGTGCCTGAGCTCAGGGAGCTGGCCCCCAGGGCCGCGTTTCAGGGCGCACTCACTGAAGAACTCCCACGCTGCCGGGTGCGGGGCAACCTGGCCCTCTCTCACCGCCCTGCCGTGTGCTCTCGTTTCAGAGGCCAGCCGGAGGCGCCAGCCCCGAAGGTGGAGAAGGTGAGGAAATCTGTAAAACGGCTCATCCTCTTTGGTTGTGAAAGTGAAAGCAACCTGACTTTCTCCTCCTCTTCCTCCTCCTCCTCATTTTCTGTAGATTCCGACCGAGAAGATGGAAACTACTGCCCTCCTGTCAAGCGAGAAAGAACGTCCTCTTTAACCCAGTTCCCACCATCACAGTCAGGTAACCGTTGCAGACCGTTCCCAAGCGGTGAAAGCGTCCGTGCTCCCCTCTGATGTCTCCTGCTCGGCCCAGATCCACTTAGAATCCACCTGAGGCTCAGCGTCTGCCAGGGATGAGGCTCAAGTGCTCCCCACTCGAGAACCCATGCCACTTACAGAGGCTTGTGACCTAGCCGACTAAAGGAAAATGCACGAAGTAGTCCCTCTAAAAGAGAGGGAAAGGATGGTCAGTCCTGTTGGGAGCTGTGGCCATTAAGTACATGTCCTCCTGCTCGGGTGTGTGACTGTGTCTGTAGACTGCAGGCACAGGAAGCGAAAAGTAGTGCGTCCTCCTGACCCTTCAGGCACGTGCCTAGAGCTTGGCAGTCTGGTCCAGAAGCCCAGACACACACACACGGTACATAACGAACCAAGTGGCCCCGGAAGACACTTTGGTGATGGAATGCCATGAGCCCCCAAAGGAGGAGGGCTTGGTGGGACCTTGAAGGGTGGGCCAGGCTAGGACCCTGCGGAAGTGGCTGGGCCCGAGGGCTTGTATGGAGACCGATGCAGGAAAGAGGGCGTTGCCCAGAGTAGAGAGAGATGCCGGGGCTACTTGGTGAGAGGTTCTCTGAGCCTGGGGACAGCCCTGCAGATTCAAGGGCAAACATAGCCTCAGGGCTTGCCCCTTCCCCTCCCCATCTTGACTTGGTCCCCCTGGCGTCGTCCGTGTTCTCAGTCTTGGCGCCCAAGTGCAGGCTCAGAGATGCGTATGTATTTAGAGAGGATCTCCGGTTACCTATCTTGGCATCCATTCTTGGGAGGTTTGTGTAACTGTGAACCTTAATGATGTCACTCTAAGAGAAAAAGCACACCCTGGAAGGTCATTTGTGCTTACAGGAGTAATGTAGACGTTACAGGAAGGTGCAGTGTAGAAAGCGAGCGTCCTTTCAAGATCCTCCCCTGAAACACACTGGATTTCCTTCCTGTTTCCCTTAACACACGTATTGTGGACTTTGCCACACCCTTTCTCATGAGTGCTCCAGGCCCCTGAATGGATGCACTGTCACTTGCTGATAAGCAGGCCTTGAGGAACCTATCCAGGCTTCCATAGACCTCCTCATCTCCCTCGTTGCCCGGTGCTCCTGTGAGACAGGGAGCTTCTGCTTCCTGGCAACGGATCGCATTCCTTGGCGTTCACCGTGCCCTGCTGAGCCACGCTCTGTGGCAAAAGGTGCAACAGAGAAGTGGTTTGTGCTGTGGCCCTAGGCTGCAGGGACAAAGGACAGCCAAATATCTCGCCCTCTGCTCTGGCACAGTGGCATAGGAAATAGCTCTCAGTCACCGCGGATGGAGAGACACGAGCAGAGCCAGTAACTTGGAAGGCGTTGTCGGTGCCCTGCGCTCTGATTCTGTAGCTGTGTCCGTCCACCCAGATAGTTCTTCAGCTCCGAGGGCCATTGCATTACTGCCCGGCCCACACCCCAGGCAGCAGTTGATAAGTGTAAAGTAAGATCCTAAACAGGTGAGGGGAGTAGGGGTGCAGCCAGCCAGCGAGCCCTGGCAGGTGACAAGGAGCAGGGACTGAGGCTGGGAACATCCAGTTCATTCTGCTTCCCTCCTGGCTGCCCACTTAGGGGCCCAGGGTGCCAAGGAAAAGCCAGGGGCATGAGGACGAGACAGGCAGCCACAGTGGACCACAGCATCTAACGGCCTGGTTCACAATGTTGAGCCTCCTAGAGTGGGGCTTGGAGATCGACCCTTCAGGTGGGAGAGGTGACCCGGTTCGTGTGTTCTCCGCCTACTCACATTGTTTTTCCTCTTGTTCCCTTCCCTGCCCGCACCTCCTTGTCGACAGTATCAAAAAACAATGTTTTTATGCCATCAACCTTCTGCGAGCCATCTGCAGGCAATTCTGACTCAGAACCAGGTGAGCCCTCGTGTCCCTTTGCGTTTTACTGCCCGTCGCTAGGGGTTTTCCTGGGATGAAAAGCAGTTGATATTGTAAAATAAGATCTTAAACAGGAATGGGCAATTTGAAAAACGGATTCTTTTTCAGTTCTTAAATGTTTTCCCAAATCTTCAGCTTGTGGATTTGGAATCCAGTGTGAGGCAAGCTTCATAAGCCCTTAGTTTTTTTGCCTCTGCAAGGAGGGCCTGGTCCCAAGGAGTCTTTAAAGTTTTGTTGTTTTTTGTTTTTTTGTTTTTGTTTTGTTCTTGCAAAAACAAAAAGCAGCTGTAGATCAGCGTACTGCTCGTTTTACAAGGTTTTTGCACAAGTAATAACTCATATCATTTTTTTAAGGCAAACGGGAAATACACAGAGTGAAAGAATCTGGCTGCCCCGCTCCCTTCCCCACCCCAAGGTAACTGCTGTGAGGCCGATGGAATTTTCCAGACCCCTTTTCTGTGCATCAGACCCTCACACTGATAATCAGTGTGACTTAGACATGTTCAGATGGATATGTAAGCGTACTCAGTCACAGCTTTAAACCTTGAGGGCAAGAGCTTGCCTCCCCCCGAAGACTGAGAGAGCCTTCCTTTTTTGGTCTCTCACTGGAGACCCAACTCCAGGATTTCCTGAACGTTTCTCCCACGTGGCTGAAATTCCTCATAAAAGATTTAATGAGCAAGTTCAACCACCCGAATTCTGTAACCCAACCTGCCTTATATAAATTCATTGCCGACTTCAAAAGCATTGCAAGAGAAGTCCTACTCTGGCATGAGGGCAGTGTTTTTATAACTTACGGGATCGATTCGATAGCCCCGTTTCACACAATTGAACTCATTTTGGTTCGAAAAGCAGACTGTTTGGAGCTGACCCTCTCACCAGGTCCTAAAGAGGAGTTTGGTTTCTAAG